CATGCAGGTAGGTTCCACACTATAGTGCAAGAAATAATCCAAATAGAGCCTGAGTTGAGGGAAACAGACGGGAGTCAGCGAGTCAAGGAGGCCAAAGCAGCTCTGAATTCTAGGGCAGAATACCAGAGAGGAGGAACTTACAAAGACAAAGAGTATGAGCTCTGGTGATCCGCAGAGGAATAGCCCTGAGTCTCTGGGTGGATAATGACGCCATGCATCATGAGAAAAAAAGCTACCTGAGACCAGGAAAAGGACACTGGATAGGAGTAGGATAGAAAATTCCTTCAACACACATGGCACTGGTAATAACTCATGTTTCCACCAGCAACAGCAGAAAGACCTTATGTAATACATAACCAGGAGAAAAATTAGTCAATACAAACAGAAGCAGCACAAGCAGTGGAATTAGCAAAGACGTTAAACTAGCTTTTATAAATATGCTTAAAAAAAAAACTTCATATGCTCAAGAAGGTAGAGGTAAACACGAACAAGAGGATAGAACTGAAAAATATTTTTAAAAACCCAAATGGAGTTGCTAAATATAAAAAACACAATATTTGAAATGAAAAATACACTGATGAGATTAAAAGCAGATTATATATTACAAAAAAGATCAGTGAAGTTGAAGACATAGCAACAAAAACTATCCAAACAAACAAACAAAAACGTCGAGAGAAAAAAATGTTAGGGAAAAAATAATAACAGCATCTGTGACCTATAAGACAATACGAAGTAGTAAAAAATATATATATAATTGGAGCCCCAGAAAATAAGGAGGAAGGGAGGGAAGAAGAGGAAAAAATTATTTGAAGAGATATTAGCCTTGGGGCCGGCCCGGTGGCGCACTGCTACAGTGCGCCGCTTGTGAGCGCGGCGGTGCTCCCGCCNCACATACAGACCGGTTCCCGCCCACTGGCTGAGCGAGGTGCGGGCGCAACACCGAGGGTTGTGATCCCGTTGCCAGTCCCTGTCCGGTACGGGTGCGACACTGAGGGTTGCGATCCGTTGCCGGACACGAAAAAAGACAAAAAGAAAAAAAAAAAAAAAGAGAGATAATAGCCAAAATTTTTCCAAATCTGATGGAAATAAATCCACATATCCAAAAATTTCAATAAACCTCAAGCAGAAAAAAACAGAAAGTAAATCATTCCAACGCACACCATTACCATGCAAATCCATGAGTTTATAATGATGCTTTTTTAAAAAAAACATTCATTTGGTCATCTTTGGAGGACACTAGTAAACCTACTTTTTATTTTGAACACTGTAAAATAATATAAAAGAATCAAGCATTTATCCTGCCTTTTTAAACAAATGTAACACTGGGGAACCAAAGAATAGATAAGAAGTTGCTCTTTATAAAAGTATTCAGCTAATAAGTGAAAAAGCAATGACAGACTAAGAATATTACCACTGAGTACTAAGTATCAACAGCTGCAAACTGTTATGAACCTGATTGGAAAGCACTCTAATCTTATAAAAATAAAGTCCTGTAACAACAGAATGGTTGAACCAGAATCCAACCACGCCTCTGGATTCAACCATCACTTTATAGGAAATAAAGAAACCTATTAAATTATGCCTAATGGATACAATTAGTAAAACTCAGTCTAT